TCCCCCAAAGGTAAATTTCCTGCCAAGGTAACTTATAACTTGCACTGTGAAGAAGTTATTTAAATGTATTAAATGTGAAATAGTCATCTCAAATGTGGTAAACAATTTCCACTCTGTTGTCAGATACAGAAAAGAATACAGCCCATATATGATTAATTATTAATGGCATCTATACAAAACATAAGTAAATAAGCTGTAAGTATTTTGGACTACTAAAAACCTCTTTAATGTTAACAGCATCACCAATTAGAGAAGCTAAGTAGCAATAAAACTGATTATCTTGTTATTTATTTGTTTTTGTCTTTTTCAGTCTAACTGACAATTCTTGGTGCAAAGACTAAAAAGCAAAAAAGACTCACTGAAAGTCACAATACGCCAAGATAATATACAAAGGGATTATTAATTACTTTACAAAAATATTAGAACTATTGCTGAAGGGTAACTACTTTTATTCTTACATATGATGACTATGGATTTGGCAAGATTTCATTAATCTTTGATTCTTCCAATAATTTCAGAATAAAGTCAAGATAATTTCAGCATAAAAGTCATAACTAAGGTTATTTACTTAGGAAATACATTAAACTATATAAAATCTAAGATATAAAAAAAAATCCTATCAGAGAGAACCACTTTTGATACAATTATTTTCTTTTGTTTTTTTCTATGTATTATTTTTACATAGTTAAAGGCATACAGCACGTGTGTGTGTGCATGTATGTACAAATAAACATTTTTTTTATTTTTTAAAAACTTAACATTGTTAATAGAACAGGTTTCCCAGTTTTCAATCTTCACTAACATAATAATATTACTAGCTATTTATAGCTAGTAATATTTCTTTCCCTACCAATAGACACTTTAGTCATTATCAATTTGTCAGAAATTTAAATGCTTTGAAGAGATTCACTACTGCTTGAACCCATTATTTTTTAACCATTTAGGCATATTGCAAAACAACATATAGGTACCTGACACTTGGTTTTTTTGGGGGGAGGGTGGGGACAGAGTCTTGCTCTGCTGCCTAGGCTAGAGTGTAGTGGTAAGATCATAGCTCATCACAGTGCTGAAATGGAGAGCTGAAGTGATCCTCAGCCTCTCAAGTAGCTGGGACCACAGGCACATGGCGCCACACCCAGCTAATTTTTAAATTTTTTGTAGAGACAATGGTCTCCCTGTGTTGCCCAGGCTGGTCTCGAACTCTTGGCTCAAGCAACCCTCTCACCTCAGCTTCCCAAAGTGCTGGGATGACAGACATGGGCCCATCCAGTAACTGATTTTTATTGGAACACCTTTAAAAAAAATTACATCTTCACTCCTCATAATTTGTTTGCATTCAACAGAATTACAAGGAATATACACTGCAGGCTACTAAACACAGAGAAACAAATTAGGAAATTATATCAGGCAACCACCTGCTTGCAAAAAGGTATTAAGTTTAATTTTCATCAATAATAATAAACATGCTTTAAGTATTTTAAAAGCAATTACTTGCTGCTGCAGCCCTTGATATTTTTCTAATTCCTTCTTTAATTCTTCAGAGTACCATTTTTCTTCCTAATAAAAAAGATTTTTAATTAGTAAATTTAAAAAGCTGTATTATCTGAAACACTGAAAATAAACAAGTATAACAATTTTTATTCCCACCTTAAGTGAAGCCTGTAGGTCTTGGACCTCTTGTCTGAGTAGTGTTACATCATCTCTAAATAAAAATGGGGGGAAGGAATTAATAATGTCCTTTAATTAACAACCTGGTCTTAACAAATCATGGCTAGTAACTGTATAGTAATATCATAGTTTTTCAATTCAAAAAAAAACTATGGAAGATTTTAATGGCATATATATAAAGCCCTTAGAAAAACAACTTTATTGGTAAAGCTCATTGTTTATAAATGGAAAACATTTTCTCATGGAAATAATCATATAACTGACTGTTAAGTGCCCAAGCTAGAGGCAAAATGTCTTCCATTAATTTACTAACAATAAGCATCAACGGCTTACTATTGTAGTTAGCATAAAATCTAAACTCATTAACATGGACTATAAAATCTGCATAATCTAGTCCTTGCCTTATCACTCTCCCTTTCATTCATTTAGCTCTATCAACATTGGCTTCTTTCTTTTACACTGAGAAAAAGCCTTGGTTCGCTCCTTGACACCCTCGGCTCTGAGTAGAATGCTGCTTGTGCATTTCGTACCTGCCACCTCACCGCTGCTCCTTCTCAATGCCACTTCCACTCACAGCCACCAACACCAACATGAACGGGAGCTCAATAGCTTCCACAAGGCATCCATTGAGGAGGGCACGTTCCTCTTCACCTCAGAGTGGGTGGAGGAAGGCTACCCATATAAGATCTGTGACCAGATCAGTGAGGCTGTCCTTGAAGCCCACCTTCAACAAAATCCTGATGACAAAGTAGCTTGTGAAACTGTTGCTAAAACTGGAATGATCATTCTTGCTGGAGCAATTCCATCCAGAGCTGCTGCTGACTACCAGAAAGTGGTTGGTGAAGCTATTAAACACACTGGATATGATGATTCTTCCAAAGGGTTTGATTACAAGACTTGTAATGTGCTGGTAGCCTTGGAGCAAGTCACCAGTTATTGCTCAAGGTATTCATCTTGACAGAAATGAAGAAGACACTGGTCCTAGAGACCGGGGCTTGATGTTTAGCTATGTCACTGATGAAACTGAGGAAGCTATGCATGCCTTTAACCAGTCATGGAATACAAACTTAAAGCCGAACTGGCAGAACTATGCCATAATGGCATTTTGCCTTGGTTACGCCCTGATTCTAAAAACTCAAGTTACTGTGCAGTATATGCAGGATCAAGGTACTATGCTTCCCATCAGAGTCCACACAATTGCTGTATCTGTTCAGCATGATGAAGAGGTTTGTCTTGATGAAATGAGGAATGCCCTAAAGGAGAAAGTCATCAAAGCCGTTGTGCCTGAAAAATACCTTGAGGAGGATACAATCTACCACCTACAGCCAAGTGGCAGCTTTGTTATCGGTGGGCCTCAGGGTGATCTTGCTTTGTTTGACTGAATGGAAAACCCATTGTGGACACTTAATGGTGGTTAGGGTACTCATGGAAGAGGTGACTTTTTAGGAAAGGATTATATTAAGGTCTACTGTTCAGCTGCTTATGCTGGTCATTGGGTAGCAAAATCCTTTGTTAAAGGAGGTCTGTGCAGGAGGGTTCTTGTTCAAGTCTCTTATGCTATTGGAGTTTGTTATCCATTATCTATCTCCATTTTCCATTATGGTACCTCTCAGAAGAGTGAGAGAAAGCTATTAGAGATTGCGAAGAAGAATTTCAATCTCTACCCTAGGGTCATTGTTCAGGGATCTGGATCTGAGGAAGCCAATTTATCAGAGGACTGCAGCCTATGGCCACTTTGGTAGAACAGCTTACTATGGGAAGTGCCCAAAAGGCTAAATATTAAAAGTGTTAGCCTCTTTTCTCCATACTTGTTGACATAGGCTACAGAGAAGCGTTCAAGCTCTGAGGGAAAGGGCCCTCCTTCCTAAATTTTCCTGTCCTCTTTTAGCTCCTGATCAGTTGTAGTCACTCTAGTCAATGACATGAATTTTAGCTTTTGTGGGGGACTGTAAATAGGGCTTGGTATTCTGTCCCTATGTGTTTTATTCACCATCGTAATGAATTTAGTGAGCATAGGTGATCCATGTAACTGCCTAGAAACAACATTGTAGTAAATAATGCTTTGAAATTGAACCTTTGTGACCTATGACCCAATGCTCCAAAGTCCCAATCACATTGACTTTCCCACCAGATGCTGAAAATGTCCTTGTAATGTGCACATAAAGTACTTGTAGATCTACTTATAGCCTCTGTCTGGCAATGCCACAGCACTGTCAGCATGAATTTGTAATGTCTTGAGCTCTATTATGAATGCGAAGCCTTCCCCTTAACTTCCCTGTAACTTGATCCATTTCTAATTATATCCCTTTTTGACAGGGAATGTTCCCTATCTGATCAATCTTGCATGCAATGCAAGTTCCCAGTTGGAGCTCTAGCCTGACATCAAAAAAAGACAATTACTATTAAACCATCTCCCTGGTGTTTATGCTCTTAATTGCCACCTCTTTAACAGCACCGAATCAAAATCTCTCCATTTTCAGCTATCTTTTGGAGAACATACATAGTAAGGTTTTAATTTAATAAACCAGTCCTATGCATTGCTTCTACACTAACCAAACCTCATCAACTCCTAGCTCTAGTAAAACAGACACTTGGCACGTTTGTGATGTCATACAGAGGAATCACAGGGCAGTACCTGAGGGTCTGTAGGTTGCACACTTAGATACTAGATAACTATTTTTTTCTTTGTAAGAAAGCCTCAGTACTTCACACTGTACAATAATTCCTCCCAGGGTTTTAACTTTGTTTTATTTTCAAAACCAGGTCCAATGAGCATTCTGAACAGCTGGTGTAGCTATAGAGAAGTCAGCTTCCTTCAGAGAGCAGTGCTTTTGGCAGGAAGGAGGAAATCCCTTCATACTTGAACATTTTCTAATTGCTTATTTATTATATTGTGGGGTATGGTGTAGTACAGAGAAGCCATCACCTCAGATGGCAGCTTTTAAAAGATTTTTTTTTTCTCTCAACACCATGATTCCTTTAACAACATGTTTCCAGCATTCTCAGGTAGGCCAAGTTGTCCTACAGAAAAACTTGGGTTAGACCTACAGGTGATCTGGCTGGTGTTAACAGAAGGAAGGGCCAAGCTGGTGTGGCTGGCCATGGAGAAAACTGACTTGGCTGGTGTGGTACAGAGAAGCCAGCTTATTTACAAGCTTATTCCACGACTGCTTGCCCTAAGCAGAAACTGCCTTTCAGGATCTATTTTTGAAGATTTATTACATTTGTCTGCTTCTCAATTCCAACAGTTTAATAAAGATCTAAATAAAATGATAGGTTCTACCTTAAAAAAAAGAAAAAAGAAAAAGCTCCGTAAAATGAGGGACACACACACACACACACACACACACACACACACACTCACAAATTGGCTTAATTCTATTCCTTTGGGTCTGACATGCTCTTTTCTGAGAAGCTTCTCACGTTCTGTTTCCCTCACCTAAGAGTCAGACTGACAAAGAATGGTGAACTGACCATTCTAGGCCCTACTGCAGGAGAGAGATTTTATGAGAAAACACCTTTATAAAGAATTATTCTGGGTGTCAGGAACGTATCTTCCCCTGCTGGATTGAAATTCATCTTACAGATATACCCAAACATGTGCAAACGGTATCTCCACAAGAACTTATATGATGTCATATACAAAACACTAGTAATAACCTAAATAGTCATCAATCAAAGAATGATAAAATTCCATGCTATCATTAAAAAGAATAAGATAGCTCTATCTACATTGATATGGAAGAATCCATAAGATATAGAGAGAAACAAAAGGTATAGAACAACGTAGAACTGCTATCTTTTATGTAATTACAGATATTTATATATTTATTTATATGTACATAGATATAAGCATATGAATATATAAGCATAGAATATCTCTGGAAGAATACATAAGAAATTGTTGAAAAAAAGAGGCTAGGGAAAAAGGGGTGGCAAGAGCTCAATTTTCACCACAAACTTTTTTGAACGATTTGAATTTTGTGCTACGTATACAGGTATTGATCGACTTATGACCTATGCAACTTATGACCATTCGACTTTACGACCACAATCGCTAGCCACGACTGCTCCGCATCTGGCAGCGCAAACGTTGCCCAGCTGGGCGTATGACAGTGCCGATCAGCTTCCGGCAGCACTACCATCTCCGCGTGCACCATTTCAACTGTTATCCCAGACTCGATACAGCAATTTGTGTTTTGTGTCTTGGATATTTTTCATCAAACCCCTCCCAATAAACTTCCTATACATTTCGAAGCAATGGACCCAAACATCGAACGATTTGCAAGGATTGAACAGATGGCGCACGACGTGTTTTGTCTGTATCGTGAAACTTATGAAGAAAAATAGAAACATACAATTCAGACAAAGCTCACCATGCTTATGAAAAAACCAACTCTGGTAACCCCAACGGCTGCCTCAGATGACGACATCAACGATCCGCAGCCAAGCACCAGCGGCCAATAAAATGTTTCGTACATGTTTATATATTTTGATATGTTTTGCAATTGGGAAAATGTTTCCTATGGTATTTTTTACACCTGTATTCTGTATTTTTGTATGCATCTGTATTTTGTAATTTTGTATGTTTTGCAAATATTAAACCAGTTGTACTGGTAATGCAGTGTTTTACTTAAACCTGACGAATGTAAAAATTAGAAACAAAATGGTGTAGAGATGATACAAATGGCATAAAATGAACAAAGAAAATTATGATATATAACAATAATGAAAGAAAATTATGATAAAATATGACTTAAAGATTTTTATAACATCATTTCACAGTACTGTACATACAGCCTACTCAACTTACAACCAAATCGTGTTACGACTGGTCTGTCAGAACCAATCGTGGTCGTAAGTCGAGCACTAGCTGTATATCATCTACATGCATACATTTAAAAATCTAGCCTTAAAAAACCCACTAATGCATCAAACTTCAAATATTTGATTGATGTTGAGGAAATTCCCATGTAAACTGATGAACGGAGGGCTTCAAAGCAAAAAGGTTTCATTACCACCTGAGTCATGTGGGCTTTTGATCTAAAAGACATATGCAGCTCATAGTCACATGTCATCCAAAGCATTATAGAGTAGAATGTAATAGAAACAAGAGAGGTGTAGGAAAATGGGAAGATGAAGACACAGTAAGATAAAAATGGAAACGCATGCAGTAACTATTCCATAAGCAAAGAGAAGCCAGTAAAAATTATTACTTAGAGTAACACCAATCAAATTTGCATTTTAAGAATATTATTCTGGCTGGGCAAAGTGACTCAGGCCTGCAATCCTAACACTTTGGCAGGCTGAGCTGGGAGAATTCCTTGAGGACTTCTTGAGGTTCCTGGACAACATAGCGAGGCCCTGTCTCAAAAAAATAAATAAATAAAAGTAAAAATTAGCCAGGCATGTTGGTCCACGCCTGTAGTCCCAATTACTTGGGAGGCTGAGGCAGGAGGATCACTAGAGCCCAGGAGTCAGAGACTACAATAAGCTATGACTGAGCCAGCCTGGAAAACAGAGCAAGATCCTAACTCTAAAAAAAAGAAAAAAGAATATTATTCTGGCAGCCATATGGAGAATTAATTGAAGAGTACAAGACTAAAGACAGAGAGCCAACTATAAATAGAAAAAAACATTTTTGAGTGAGATTTAAGGTCTAAAATAAACTACAACAGTAAAAATATGAAAGAATATATGCTGTTAAGGAAACAATTAACTAAACTTTATGATAGATCAGATGAGGGAAGCAGGAGCAGATGTGTAAAAATGAGCACACCTACTTTCCTGGCTTTAATAACTAGGTCGATAGATAATGCTGCCATTCACCAGAAGAAGTAATAGTAGACAAGCAGTAGGTTTAAAAGAAAATGGGATAAAGTCTGTTTTCTAAATGTCAATAATGAGGTGCTTTGGGAACATCAGAGGGAAGATACCTAATAGGCAAATTGAGAGATAATTCTAGATTGGAGATGTGGTTTAGGAGGAAGTTAGGGATGTAGATATTACCCCAGGTAGATCACACAGAGGAAGAGCAGCTTACAAAACAGATCAAGAAAAAATTATCACAATGGTATGTAATCTCAGAAGACTAGAAGGAAGGAGAGCTGGCAGAGCCAAATTTTGCAGTGGTTGTTGTAGAGTCTACAGATATGACTACAATCAAATTCTTCCTTTCCTATACACAAAATCCACTAATCCACTAACAGACAAAGTTCACCTTCAGGCCTCATGAATCTGACCTGGCACTACGACTACTTTATCCAGTAGAATGGTGGAAGTGATGCTCTGACACTTTTGAATCAAGCCTAAAGAAGACTGGCAACTTCTGCTTCTTTCCTCTTGGAACATGCTATCTTGGAACGAACTACCAGTTTGTGAGGAAGTCCAAGCAGCCACATAAAGAGGCCCACATGAAAGGGAACTGAAGCCTCTGGCATAAAGTCCCAGATAAGTCTCAGCTGGCATCCAACACCAACTTCCAGCCATGAATGTGAGGCTATTTAGAAACTTCTGGTCTTCCTACAACCCCAGTCTACCTCACTTAAAGCAGAAGAACCATTCAGTCAATTCAAAGAATCACGAGAATTAATAAACTGTTATAGTTTTAAACCACTTTGCTCTTTGGGTAGATTGTCAGACAGTAATAGATAACCAAAATAGAGGTCAAGCAAAATAAGAACTGAAAATAATACAGGTTACTGTTGGCCTTTGAAAGAGCCATTGCCAGAGAATGATAGGGCAGAAGTCAGGCTTCAATGATCTAAAACACTAAATAAAAAGTTAAGAACAAGGGTGGACCATGGATGCTTTTATGTTAAAAGTTCATATATTGGACATGGTCTAATTCACAGTTGAAATGCAACTCTATTAAATTGAAATTAAATATAAAAACATTTATAATATAACCTAATATAACCACATATTTTTAATCTATTTCCTAACAAATGACAAAATAGTAGCTGAAATTATTAATTCACACATAAAAATACCTGAGAGCATTAACAGTCATATTAAAATGGAAGATCCATTCTTCCCAAAAGCACTGGTTTTCCCACATATTTCAATACATTAAAATGACCATGTTTCATAGTCCTACAAAGTTGATGTGATTATTATATTTTCCTTTACGTAGTATTCTTTGTGTCATAGCAGATTAATCAATCAGTAAGGTTTTTTTAAGGAAAGCATAAAAATACTTTTTTACAATTATAATGAAGTGAACTGTTTATGCTCTCAGTGGGGATAAAAGACAAGAGTTCTCTCCAATGGCAAAATAAATGCAAAGTTATATTGTTGAGTGCAATTCTAAGTAGTTATATTTTAGTTTATTTTTACTTCTTAAAATGGCCAAGACAAATTACCAAGAAGCACAATGTATACGTGTACATATTGCTATACTGATGATTATAAATGAAACTTTTTAAATTTTAAATTAAAAATTAAATTTTCATTGTTGGCTAAATTCATCATTTTAACAACTTACTATAAAGTCATGTCAGCAAATTGAATCGTTTTATATTATACAGAATATACTAAATACAATTCAACCTTCTTTTGCTAACTCACAATCTTCATTAAAAACATAACCTATATACCGTATTGTATAAAACATAGCCTACATACCACTGGTATAACCAGTTACTGGTCATGGATTGAATAGTTTTTAACAATAATTGAGGAAGGATATGCTAAATGAGGACAGACTTAATAAAAATTACTATTTTGATCAACTAATTAACCATGATTAAACAATAATATCATATGCATATTCCATAACATTATACTTCAAAATTATCATACTGTACCGCTTCAAAGCAAGATTAGACTCTCCTCCATGACCTGAATCATTACCAGCATCATGAACAGCTTCATAATGTTTGAAAAGTTCATCAGCAGATCCAAGAGATTTCATACACTGGGGACATATGAAACCCTATAGAAAAAGGCAGAAAATAGTTTCAAAATAGTATTTAATATTCTGAAATAAGAATTTGCATATTATGAAATATCATCAAATATCTTAATCATACCAATGGTTCCATTAGGTAAATTATATCTTATGGTATTAATCCCAAATTCTAATATCATGCAAAGATACTTCACTGTCTATTCTAGTTGAAGTCTACAAAATGCAAAGAAAGCCCTTACAACCGTCTTTTACATTAGATAAAGTAATAGCTGGAGTACCCAAGTCTAATCTGAAAAGCTAGTTCTAAAATAGATTAGTTGAGAACACTTGCCATCATATCCTTCCATTCACTAGATAGCCCCATTAGTAAAATGATGTCTGTTCCAATCTACCTCACAGGAATGCTAACAAAAAAAAAAGAAGATGATGATGAAGAATCACTGAGGGGAGAAAAGTCATTCATAATCACCACAAACCTCAGATATCTACAACAACAGACAAGTATTCTAGTCAGTAAATTTCTTTGCTAACCTAAGGCTAACACAGTAAAGGCCTAAAATTAGTGTGTAGCCCCATAAAATATTTTAAAAATATATAATTATATAATGAATCCCAGAATTATTACATGGTTAAAACTATCAACTAGAGTACTACGTTAAAAATGTTGATAAAGATCCATGTTTTACAAGTTTTAGGTTCAAATTCATTAATGAATCATAAAATGAACTTACTGGGTTACAACTTTTTTTTTTTTTTTTTGAGACAGTCTTGCTGGACACACCCAGGCTGGAGTGCAATGGCACAATCTTGGCTCACTGCAACCTCTGCCTCCCAGATTCAAGCGATTCTCTCTGCCTCAGCTCCTCAAGTAGCTGGGATTACAGGTGCACACCACTATGCTCAGCTAATTTTTTTTGTATTTTTAGTAGAGACAGGGTTTCACCATGTTGGCTAGGCTGGTCTCAAACTCCTGACCTCCACAGGTGATCCACCCACCTAAGTCTCCCAAAGTGCTGGGATTACAGGTGTGAGCTACCACGCCCAGCCAAAACTTTTAAAAAATAATTCTCTACAACAAAATATATTAGAGTTTATCATATGCAGTAAGGATAAATAATGTTTTGTTAACTTCTGTTTTGAGTGATTACAAAAAGTATAGCTCTTAAGTGGTTGCTATCAAAAATATCTGAGAAGCACAGGTACAGACAGCTGTTAGTTATACAGGACAGAATATATACCAATAATGACTATTTATAGATTCTATACTATGTGCTTTCCCTGTACAACCTCATTTAAATCTCTCAATATTTTCTTAGTATTATTATCTCCATTTTAAAAAGAGGAAATTAAACCTCAGAAAAGTTTATGTTACTTTCCTAGGATCACAAGCCTAATTAAACCAAAACATGCACAAGTCTGCTAGACAAATCCCATGTTCTGAAATGCTATACTATCTCTTAAACTCATTGACTCACCCTTATAAATCACTGCCTTAAAAGATGCCCTTTTAACTAACTTTTTAGTGACTTTATTCAAAAAATACTTATTGACTATAATTTCAAGTGTTATCACTGTTCTCTACAAGATATAAATGATAAAAATATAGTCTTGGCCTTCAAAAAACTGAGAAGGCAGAATATATATATATTTTAAAAATACCTTCATGCATGAAACTGCATTAATGATTAACCAGATGGCACTTAAGTTTATATTGTAGGGGTACCTGATTGCAAAGTAAATTAGCAAATTAAACAAATCATAGCCTTCTCTCCAATTGTCTGTTGGTCCTATAAAATATTACTTACTCAACTTCTGTATCCATCAAAATGTCAGTAGTATTCAAACTGTTACATAATACCGCCAGGTGTGGTGGCTCACGCCTATAATCCCAGCACTTTGGGAGGCTGAGGTGGGCAGATCACTTGAGGTCAGGAGTTCAAGACTAGCCTGGCCAACAGGGCAAAACCCCATCTCTACTAAAAATACAAAAATCAGCCGGGTGTGGTGGCACACACTCAGGAGGCTGAAGCACTAGAATCGCTTGAACCTGGGAGGCAGAGGTTGCAGTGAGCCGAGATAGTGTTACTGAACTCCAGCCTGGGCAACAAGAGCAAAACTCCGTATCAAAAATGTGTGTGTGTGTGTGTGTGTGTGTGTGTGTGTGTGTGTGTGTATTCATAAAACATAATACTTCAGTATCATCAATCCAATATAAATAGAAAACTCTCAACTTTGAATTACTCTTTAAATTATCTGCATTCCAAAGTGTTTATAGATAATAAAGTAGTTTCCCCACACTTTACACACATACATCACATACATATGCATACATGCACACACACACACATACACAAACACACCATATCAAGGGTTTTGAAAAAGCCTTACTCCAAAATCTTGACTTTTAAAAAATATTACTGGATATTAATTCTGAAAACACTATCAGCCCATTTTTCACCCTAATACACAAGAATATCCTCATGCAATCAATTCTGTATGAGTATTTCATATGCTGAAGGGTATCTATGGTCATTCATTAAATCAAAGATAAACTAGTAACTAGCAAAAATATGACAAAGTTATTACACATACAATTCTGCTAATTAAAGGTAGCAAGATATAAACTTGTTTTACTTCCATCAAATACACCACAATTCTAAAATTTCCCTCTATTACGGATATAAAAATAAATTGGAATGTGTGTGGCACTGGTACG